TAGAACCACCTGCCTGCCTTCCCTCTGGTGAACTGGACAAGCCCCCCAATGCCACCAGGCCTCAGTCTCTCGTCTGAGAAATGGGCTTACCTCCCAGGCATTGACATTCACCAGGTGCCCAGAAAAATGCCTGGGACATTGTAGGTACCACATAAATGCTGGGTGACGCAAATCCTGGCATTTAGACCAGTGGTGACCAATGGGACCGAGATGGCACCGAGAATGCCCTCCTGGGCCCTGTCCGCCGGCTGCGTGGCTCCTGAGTCCTGGAGGTGTGGCTGGCAAGGCCAAGGAAGGGAAACCTTCACTTTCCTTGATTTTAACTGATTCCAATTTAAAAGTGCAAACCAACACCGGATCCAGTTTTTGGAAAATGTCTGAGTATACATGAAACCACTTGGGTGTGCACGCGTTTTCCTTTTCAGCGTCAGTTTTACGCAGTCGGGCTACATATGAGTGTCTCCGAGGAAACGTCAGTGTCGGGAAACAGGCCAGATTTCAGACACGGGACAGAAACAGGTGTGAAATACCTCATACATCATTTTTCATATCGATTACCTGTTGCAATGATCATATTTCCCAGATATCAAGTGAAGTGAAATATATGACCAAAACAATTCTCTTTTAGTTCTTTAACATGAGCCAACATTTAAAATTCTGTGTATGGTTTGTCTTATTTTTCTACTGCCCAACGCTGTTCTGGACTGTGGGTCAAATTCAGATGCTATTTTTTTTTTTTCCGGTATAGCCCACGAGCTAAGAATGGTGTTTACATTTTTAAGAGGTTTTTAAAGAATCAAAAGAAGAATACTATTCTATGACACATGGAAATCATATAATATCCAAATTTCCATGTTTGGACAGAGTTTTATTGGCGCCCAGCTGTTTGTGTACAGACTGCTTGAGGCTGAGTAGTCCCTGGGCTGCAAAGCTGAAAATATTAACTTTTTGGCCTTTTACAGAAAAAAGCTTAAAAAAGAAAAAAAGAAAGAAAAAAGCTTATTGACCCATGGTCTAGATTCTCAGCCTCCTGGAACTCAAGAAATTCAGATCAGACATCCCAGATTTTGAAACCCTGGGGTTCCAAAAGCTTGTAATATTATAATTTGAGAAACTCCCCCAGGACCTAAAACTTACAGAATTATGTGGTTCTGTATAATCCTATGACCTCAGCGGCCCCCACCTGGGCCTGGGTTCCAATCCCCAGTCAGCTGAGGTAAGGGCATGTTGACTCAACACATGTCAAAATCTTAGGAATTTTGGCTTAGCCTCAGAACGTGGCAGGGAGGTCTGGGGCCTCTGCAGCTGTCCTCCGCCCTTGACCAGCCACCCTCTCCGCCCCCCCCCCCCCCCCCCGCACTCACCTCTTTGTCCTGGACTGATCCGGGGAGACTGCGGTGGGGGTAGGGGAGGTGTGGAATGATGCAGGCTCACTGGGGGCGGATGCAGGTATTCTGGGGCAGGATCTCCTCCGCGATGCCAGAGGGACGTGGGCCAGGGGCTGGAGGACCTGGAGTTGCAGGAAACCCCAGAGCCTCAGCCTCCGGTGCTGGGCTATGGGGGTAGGGCCTGGCGGTCTGGGTGGCTGGGCACAGGGGCTGCAGGTGTGGTGAGGGGCTTGGGCCCCTTCCCTGCAGTGTCAGGGCTCTGAGTGAGACCCCGGAGGGTCCTACGGCCCCAACGATGCAGCGAAAACAAAATAACAGTAACAACAGGGATTTCCCTGGTGGTCCAGTAGGTAAGATTTAGTGCAATGCAGCGGGCCCGGGTTCCATCCCTGGTCGGGGAACTGGAGCCCGCATGCATGCCGCAACTAAGAGTTCGTGTGCCTCAACTAAAGATCCTGCATGCCACAACTAAGAGCCGGCGCAGCCAAAATTTTTTTAAAAAGTAACAATAAAATTTCAAGCCTGTTAGGTCAGGAACCTCCCTTGCTCCCAATCCTCCATGGCTGCCCACTGCCCCCTCAACAAAGGTGTCCTCCAGGCCCCACGCTCTCCCTTGCTCACTCTGCTCCAGACACGGGGGCTTCTCCTCGCTCTGCCACTAATGATCAGCACCAGGCCTGCCTCAGGGCCTTTGTCCTGGCTGCGCCCTCCGCCTGACACTCTTTCCACCTGGCCTGTTCACTGTCCACCTTCCAGCACCTTCTCAGTGAGCCCCAGCCCAGGCTCCAGGTCCCAATGCCACCCACACATGCCAGACAGGTACCACATGATGACCACAGCATCCTCCGAAATCCAGCCCATCTTCTAAATTCCCGACTGTGCCCAGAAGGGCGGGCCTGGGGTCTGGTCCTTCCTTGTGTCTTTGGCTTAGATTTGGAACTCTCTCCGCCCCCACCTCCCGCTATACTCCTTTTCTGTGACCATGACTTTCACTTGCTCTCCAGGGCCGCATGTTTCCCTATGTGGGAGTGAGCACTAGACGGTGCTGCCCAACACAGCAGCTGCTTGCCACACGGGCCCATTTCCACACAAATTACACCAATAAAAGTAAAGTTTACGGGTTTCCCTGGTGGCGCAGTGGTTAAGAATCTGCCCGCCAATGTAGGAGACATGGGTTTGAGCTCTGGTCTGGGAAGATCCCACATGCTGCGGAGCAACTAAGCCCGTGTGCCACAACTAGTGAACCTGCGTGCCACAACTACTGAAGCCTGCACGCCTAGAGCCTATGCTCCGCAACAAGAGAAGCCACGGCAATGAGAAGCCCACGCAAGGGAGAGTAGCCCCCGCTCTCCACAACTAGAGAAAGCCTGCGCACAGCAACAAAGACCCAACGTAGCCAAAAATAAATAAATAAAATGAATAAATTCATTAAAAAAAAAAGAATTTGCATCGATTGAATGCCTACCATATGCCAGGCCCTGTGCAGAGCACTCCCTGTGAAACAGGAAGAGAATGATTTTAGCCTCCTGGTTGTGGTAGACACGTCCACCTCCAGGGAGTGGGGCTCCCAGGATTATGAAAGCCGGCAGATAGGTCTGGAAGGTTCTCTCAGGCTCCAGGTCATAGCTGAAAAGTCTCCTCCCTCCCTGACCACCCAGTGCAATTCAGAATAGGAACCCCCCCCCCCCCCAACCCACCCACCCCCCCCACCCCAATGCTCTGGTCTTTCTCAGAGGCCCTGACTGTGCCCATCAGTGGGATTGTCACCATCGGGAACCAGACCAGATATCCACTTGGCGGTCTGCCTGTCTCCTATTGGTCCCTGAGCTCTGCTAGGGCAGGAACCGGTACTGCATTGGCCGCCGCTGTGTCCCTAACACCCAGTGCAGGCCCTGGGACACGAACGTGTCCTTCCCCAGGGTCAGGCATCCTCTCCCAGGCCCCTCGCCTCCGGCTCCACCTGCCCTTCCACACTTCCTGCCGCAGCCCACCCCGCCTTGCTTTGGAGCGGGAGGTGGAAGCACCTGGCATACCGTAGGTACTCAATGAATGTTAGGTCCTATTACTACCACGGCTGCTGGGAGGCGCCGAGACGTTTCAAAGATGAGTGAGCGTGTATGTGGTCCAGACGAGGGACCCCAGGCCTGGGACACCGCGGGCGGGCACCCGGTGGCAGCCAAGAGGAAGGCAGGGCCAGGTACGGACCTTTCGTGACCCCACTTTAGCTGGAGGAGGCCTGTCCACTCCGTCATCCCCGAAGGGCCGGGACAGGGGCCTGGCGGCCAGGGAGCAGGAGAGAGATGGGGGGGTGACCCACCTGAGCGGCCCGGTTCTCAGAAGGAAGAGCTAAAGTCGCTAGGGCAGGGGTCCCCAACCCCTGGGCCGCGGACAGGTAGCAGTCTGCGGCCTGTTAGGAACCGGGCCGCACATAAAGAGGTGAGCAGCGGGCCAGCGAGCGAAGCTTCATCTGCCACCCCCCTTCGCTCGCATTACCGCCTGAACAATCCTACCCCCGCTCCGTGGAAAAGTTATTTTCCACCTGCCGAAAACGTCGGGGAATCGCAGCTGGGAGGTGGAAGAACAAAGAAAACCACCTGGTTTAACCTGTTTTGCGTCCAGCCAGGCGCTCATGTAAATGCCCCAGCCGGCCCAAGAAAGAAGTTCTATCGTTTTTTATCTCTTGGTGGAGAACAGGAACACAGCTATAGTCTTTCATAACAGTCAGTGTCTGCTCGCCTGCGCGGGGAACGAAGTTCCCACACAACGTAAACTTTTTTTTTTTTTCAACCCCCCCCCCCCTTGTCCCTCTCGCGAGATTATTTAAAGGCCAGAAATTAAATTACTTTTCAGCTAGAACATTCTAATGTAATCTTATCTTCGGCATAGTTTTCCAGAGCGCCAAGTAAACAACGTCTCCAGCAGTCCTATTTCCTGTCAGTTTACTTTAACACCTCTAAATTCCTCAGAGATTGACTAATTTTACCGCCCGCCTTGCAGCCGCGGAGGCTTGTGGGGGCGATAGGCAAAACACCCGGACCAGACGCAGCCCCGCCCCTCGCCGCTCCCTACCCGGGAGCCAGGCCACAGGGCGGGGCCGCCACGGGCCGCCCGACCGCATCCCAGCGTTCCCCGCGGGCGCAGGGAGGCCGTTCTTGCCGGCGCGGCTACTCGCTGGCGTCAGCTGGGGCGCGGAGGCGGAAGATGGCGGCGGCGCCCGGGCGGCCGTGAGGAGCGAGGCGGTGGCGAGGACGGCCGATGGCGGCGGGGAGGCGTCCTCGGGGACCTGCGGGCCGTTAAGGCGCGACGGTGGGCATGTCGGAGCTCGCGGCGCCCGGGGCCCCGGGGCCCGGGCCCAACGGCGGCGGCGGCGGCCCAGCCCCCCCGCGTGGGCCTCGCACCCCCAACCTCAACCCCAATCCTCTCATCAACGTGCGCGACCGGCTCTTCCATGCGCTTTTCTTCAAGATGGCTGTCACCTACTCGCGCCTCTTCCCGCCCGCCTTCCGTCGTCTCTTCGAGTTCTTCGTGTTGCTCAAGGTGACCGGGGCCCCGAACCTTGACCCTGACGGCCGGACCCTTTCCCCCAGGTCTGCGACTTCTGACCCCGCCCGGAGCAGCGCGCCCCTCCCACCCGGTGGCGTAGGCCCGGCCCGACCCGTTGGGACCCTTTCCTTAGGCCTGCCGCCCCCGCCCCCCTACCCAGAAACTCCCACCTGGGAAGGCCAGAGTCTCCCCCGGTTAGTGGCCCCTGATCCCGACTCCAGAAACTCACTCCCAGCCCCCTCCAGGCCGCACCCCACCCCTCGCCTCGCCCTTCCCAGCGTCCCCCACCTACGGCGGCCGGAGCCCAGCCCCGTGACCCCCGGCCCTGCCGCCTGGGATCCTCAGTCCGGGATGACCGCCTCCCCACTCTCCGAGCCTGGCCTGGCCCCGAGCCCCAGACTCGAGGGATTCCGGGCCTCACCGCCACTGCCCCCTCCCAGAATACACCCCCGGACCGCCCACCTGTACCTCTTCCCTCTCCCCCTTTTTCTTGGGGCTCTTCTCCTCGGGCCCTTCTGCTTGCCTCCACTCGGATTCTCCCCGCTCTGAACCTCTGGGGGGAAGGTGACCTAGCTGAGGTCACGCCGTGGGGCTTAGTGGCAAAGTCCAGCCAGTGGTGCTGCAGGTGGCTCTGTGAGGGGCCTCCCGTGGATCCGCCCCTTGTCCTCGCTCGGGTGGCAGAGCTCTCGGCTGTTCAGCGGTGCCGGGAGGGCCGGCACAGATCCCTCCAAGGAGGGGTCTCACTCAGAGAGGGAGCTCGCTGGGTGCCGAGCCCGGCTGCCTGGAGGGTCTGAGGAAGTGGAGAAATGGCTGTTTTGTTTCGTGTCCCGTCCAGGAGTGGCCCCCGGGGCGGGGGCCGGGGCCAGGGGTGCTGATGTCCGAGGAAGCTCGGATTCCTCATCTGCAGGAAGGGGGCTGGAGCTGGCGGGCAAGGCGCGTGGGGTGCCGGCTGGGCCAGCTTGGTCGGGAGCCGGCAGCTCTTTGGCGTTGGGTGGCAGGGGTGCGAGCCGTCCCGCAGACCTGGTGCGGGTCCCAGCCTGAAACCCCGGTCCCGGAGCGGCAGGCGTCCCCTGCGGGGGCGTGGGGGTGGGACTCCGGAGGATTCCTGAGTCGGCCTTCCTTTACCCCAATCCTGGAACCCATGGGCGGCTTGGGGCGTAGGCAGAAGGCCATGTGAGGCCGTGATTGGCTTGGGGAACAAAGCACTGTTCCTCCCGACACGCTCAGAAGGAGCCCGTGTCACTCGAGGGGGTGCCCTGTGTGAGGTGGGGCCCCCCGTGGAGCTGAGCTTTCCCTGAGAGCCCGGCCTGAGGCCTTGGCTTTGTCTCGCCAATTCCTGCCCGAGGAGCAGGCCAGGGGTTGGGCTGGCCAAGCAGATGGGCTGCACATCCAGGCCGCGTCCCTGGTGCGTGGGGCCGGGTGAGCGGGCTACCCTCAGCCCCCTGCACCTCCTCTCTCCTTGGGGCTGCGACCAGGAGGCCCTTCATTCCCCGAGAGCCTGCCTGACCCCCTGGCGCCTTTGGTTTCCCTCGTGTGCAAAGGGAGGGCTCGGCTGGCTGATTTCTGAGGCCGCCTCAAGCTCCAGAAAGCTCTGCTCCTTTGCCTCTCAGCCGCCCAGCTTCTGGGCTCTTGCTACAGAGATCAAGTTCCCCTCCCAGCCCCGCTCCCCAGCCTTTTCCTGTGGCACCTGTTCCTCTCTGCTCACTGCTGGCGGGAGCCGCCCTTGCCATCCTCTTTGCCGCCTCGTGCCAGTCTCTGGGCCCAGCGATGAGTGGGGTGACCAGGAGGAAGGGGGAGAGACGGCAGCCGGCAGGGCAGGGTCTGTGTCACATCAGGCAGCCTCAGGCTGCGAGGAAGGAGGTGGGTAGCAGAAGCGGCGCATGCAGAGGCCCTGGAGCTGGCGGGACGGCGCAGCCGTGTGGCTGGTGAGTTGGAGCATGGGGGTCACAGGGTGCCAGAGGTTGGGGGGCTGGAGCACCCAGGGCCTGTGAGGTGGCCAGGCCAGCTGGCAGGCAGAGGGCAGGAAGGGCCCTGGACAAGACTCCTGAAATCCTGAGAGTGAGGTGGGCGGGGCTGCTGAGTGCACCCTGCTTTCCCCGCGTGGGTAGGGCTGCCCTGGGTGTCTAATGATAGGTTGTAGGGGGAGGGAAGCCTGGGCAGCCAGCTCGTTCCATGGTGGGGAAACAAGTCCAGATCTGGGGCAAGCCTTGTCAAGGGGGTGAGAGAGTCTTGGCCCACCTCTGGGGACCCACACACTCAGTCAAGGGTGATGGACCCCACCTGGGGTTTCGGGACCCGGATAAGGACAGTGATGGGGCAGACACCAGTGAGGGGTGCTGGAGGGGGCGCCAGGGTGACAGTGGGGTCATGGGGGCCACTCAGCGAGGTCATGGTGCCACCAGCCCCCCATCCGTTCAAGTGCCCCTGCTCTCGGGGCCCAGCTGGCCCTGCCTGGTGTGTGTTCCAGGTTGAACTCCTGGCTCCACCCCTCCTGGCCGCGTGGCCTCTGTGCCTTGGTTTTCTCATCTGCAGACTGGGGGTGATGGCAGGCACGTGTGTCTCCGGGGGAAGTGCTCGGGCAGCCCCTGGCATCGGGCCATCCTGCGTGTCAGCACTTTTTGTGGTATCTCGTCACGTTGTACAGCGTCGTCCTTATGGCCCAGAGCAGACAGTGTCCCAGACACGGCTCTGCTGGACATCTGGGCCCAGAGAGCACGACTGGCGCTGTGGGTCAGCTCTCTGACCTTGCCCTGCTGTGCTGTGGGTCCCACACTGTCAGGACTCCCGTCGCCAGCTCCCAGGTCCCCAGACACAACGTTGGGGAGAGGTGCTGGGGGTCCCGAGTGACGCTTGGCCTGTGGCCACGTCTCAGGGCCCTGGAGCAGGCTGGCCTGTGGGAGGCTCTGCAGACGTGGGGGCCTCAGCTGGCCTTCCCCACTGCCTCCCCAGCCCCTCCACCCCAGGCAGGGTCCCAGCTCTGTTCTCAGCTCAGCATCTGTCTGCCGTGACCTGAACCCCAGGGGCTTGGGATGTGTAGTCTGTCTCTGCTTAAATCAGCAGTGCTCTGATTACCGCCCTGTCAGGACAGGAGCGGGTGCTCTGCTGACCCAGCCCGTGCCCAGTCTGCAGGGCAGGCTCCAGAGAGGAAGCCGGGAGTTCCACAGCCAGCGCTGGCACCACCCTCTGGTGCTCATGGCAGGGCATGGAGAGGACGAGGTGCTGGCGGCCCTGCCGGTGACCACGTGGCCACGGGCAGTTCACCACACCCCTGAGCATCATTGTTGACAGGACAAGGAGCGGCTTCGTACTCTGGTCCCCCACGATCATTTGTACCACACAGGGAACTCACCCCGGGAGCGATGCCCTTGACACGGCGTCCAGGCCGAAGGGTGACACTTGGCCAACCGGGACCCCATGAGAAACAGCGGTCAGACGGGGGCTCCTGGAGCAGGGGGTTGGGGTGACGTCAAGCAGGGCCTCTCCTCAGCACTGTGGACATCGGGGCTGGGACGTTCTCTGTAGGGGGCCATCCTGGGCACTGTGGGGTGTGGAGCAGCCTCCCCGGCCCTGCCTGCTCGATGCCGGGAGCCCCCCAGTCACGATCACCACAGACGTCCCAAGATGTGGCCCTGTGTCAGGATCCCCCCAGTGAACAGTTAGGGCTGTCCTGTCTTACTCTGGGGAAACCGTACCTCAGGGGACAGAGCGAGCCCTGCCATGGGGCCGTTGGCATGGCCAAGCGGGTCGGCTGTGTTCAGTGGCTCAGGCTGGCCCGGGAGAGGTGCAGAGGGCGCCCGGCCGGCGAGGGAGGCCATTTTTAGCCAGTGAGGTCGGGAGTTTTCTCCTGGGGCAGCTGGGTGATGGCACCACGTGCTCTGCTTGGGCCCGTGCTGACCGCCCCCCGCCCCCAGGCCCTGTTCGTGCTCTTCGTCCTGGCCTACATCCACATTGTCTTCTCCCGCTCGCCCATCAACTGCCTGGAGCACGTGCGGGACGAGTGGCCGAGAGAGGGCGTCCTGCGCGTGGAGGTGCAGCACAACTCGAGCCGCGCGCCCGTCCTCCTGCAGTTCTGCAGTGGTGGCGGCAGCTTCCCTGGGCTGGCTGTGGGGCCGGGAGGCCTGGAGCTGGGGGGTGAGGACGACGAGGAGGAGCTGACCGTGGAGGTGTTTGGGAACAGCTCCGTCAAGGTGAGCTGGCTGGAAGCGTTCCTGATCTTCAGGGCCACAGGCCTCCCTGTCTGCTGCTGCTCCCGCTCCCGTGGCCTCGCGGCCGACTGGGACCCCGGGCTGCTTCCCAGCTGTCAGGTGAAAGGGATTGGCCCGGTTCTGGGGGTGCCAAGGGCAGATACAGCCGGGAAGAAGGCTCTGGGCATCCTGGTGATGCAGCGCCCCGTCAGCAGAGGCATGCCAGTGGACACGGGCCCACAGCCCGCAGGGAGGGCTGTGCTTGGGCAGCCAGAGGCCAGGAACTTGTGGGCCAGGGATCGGTGTGGGTAGGGTATTGGTGCAGACCTCAGCAGGGGGCCGCATCCCTCCCACACCCTCACCCGGAGACAGGCTCTCGGAGCTCAGTGCTGGGGGTCAGGGTTTTGATGGGACAGGGGCGCATCTGCTTCCAGTCAGTCGATGAGGGAGAGGCCTCCAGGCCCGGCCCTTTGGCACCATGGGCCTGCTGACTCCTGCCTCCCTCTCTGCAGTTTGAGCTGGACATCGAGCCCAAGGTGTTCAAGCCACCAGGTGGCCCCGAGGCCCTGAACGACAGCCAGGAGTTCCCCTTCCCTGAGACGCCCACAAAAGGTACTCATTGCTCACTGGAGCTAAAGGCCAGTGCCCCCGGTGGGCTGCGGTCACCCCGCCCCTCCCAGGGGAGAGAGGCTCCGCGGGCTGACCAGGCCTGTCCCACCCACAGCGTGGCCGCAGGACGAGTACATCGTGGAGTACTCGCTGGAGTACGGCTTCTTGCGGTTGTCGCAGGCCACGCGGCAGCGGCTTAGCATCCCAGTCATGGTGGTCACCCTGGGTGAGTGTCACCTGCAGAGTGAGGTTCTGGGGGAGGGGTGACCCAGAAGCACTCGCTTCCGGGGCCTGGGGGGCCCGCCCGTGCTCTCCAGCTGAGGGAAGCTTCCCAGGCTTCATCCCTTGACTGTTCCTCTGGGGCTGTCACGCACATCACTGGTTGGGTCGGGGGTGGGCGGGGGCTCCTCCACTCCCACAAATGGAGATCTGGCCTTCCCCGGGCCTCCACCAGGACTGGGGCTGGTGGGGGCCTGGCCAGGTGCACACCCCTGTCACGGTCCTGCCCACAGACCCCATGCGGGACCAGTGCTTCGGGGACCGCTTCAGCCGCCTGCTGCTGGCTGAGTTCCTGGGCTACGACGACATCCTCATGTCCAGTGTGAAAGGCCTGGCGGAAAACGAGGAGAACAAGGGTGCGGGGCCCAGCCGGGTGAGCGGGGCCGGGGCGGGGCCGGGGTGGTCTGGGGCGCAGGCTCACTGCCTCCCGCGCAGGCTTCCTGCGGAACGTGGTGTCCGGGGAGCACTACCGCTTCGTGAGCATGTGGATGGCCCGCACATCCTACCTGGCCGCCTTCGTCATCATGGTCATCTTCGTGAGTGCCGCGGGCGGGGCGGGGGGCCGGAGGGGGGGCGGCGAGGCGGCGGCCCCAGGCCTCACGCTGCACTGCTTGCAGACCTTGAGCGTGTCCATGCTGCTGCGCTACTCCCACCACCAGATCTTCGTCTTCATTGGTGAGTTTCCCCGCTGGCCACCTCCCCCACCCACACCCCCCCCACCGGGCGCCTCACCCGGTCTGCCCGCCCGCCACCCTCTGCCCGCAGTGGACCTGCTGCAGATGCTGGAGATGAACATGGCCATCGCGTTCCCCGCAGCGCCCCTGCTGACCGTCATCCTGGCCCTCGTGGGTGAGGACCCTGTGCCCCACGCCCTGCCCCCTGCCCTGGCCGTCACCTGCCCGTCCCCCCCAACCAGCATTCTCCCATCTCCCCACAGGAATGGAGGCCATCATGTCTGAGTTCTTCAACGACACCACCACGGCCTTCTACATCATTCTCATCGTGTGGCTGGCCGACCAGTATGATGCCATCTGCTGCCACACCAACACCAGCAAGCGGCACTGGCTTCGGTGGGCACCGGGGTCCGTGTGGTCCAGGGTGGGGGCAGCCGGGTGGGCAGCGCCTCACTATCCCCCTCGCAGGTTCTTCTACCTGTACCACTTCGCCTTCTACGCCTACCATTACCGCTTCAACGGGCAGTACAGTAGCCTGGCCCTCGTCACTTCCTGGCTCTTCATCCAGGTGAGGCGGGCTGCCCTTGGGACTGGTGACCCCGGGGTCCACCCAGCCTGTCGGGGGTTCTGCGGAAGCTGCGTTCTGGCTTGGGCCTCGCCTGACCCAGTGCCTGCCCCCCAGCATTCCATGATCTACTTCTTCCACCACTACGAGCTGCCCGCCATTCTGCAGCAGATCCGCGTCCAGGAGATGCTGCTGCAGACCCCCCCTCTGGGCCCTGGCAGCCCCACGGCCCTGCCAGACGACCTGAACAACAACGGAGGCACCCCAGCTGCCACGCCCGACTCTACCAGCCAGCCCCCTGCCCTGGGCCCTGGCTTGCAGGGTGGTGGCAGAGGCCCTGGGCCCGTGGCTGAGGCACCCAGCTCCCTGGTGGCCGCGGCGGCCTCGGTGGCTGCAGCAGCCAGTGGTGACCTGGGCTGGATGGCAGAGACGGCTGCCATCATCACAGACGCCTCCTTCTTATCTGGCCTGAGCGCCTCTCTCTTGGACCGGCGGCCGGCCAGCCCCCTGAGCCCCAGTGGGGCGCTCCTTCGGGTCCCCCAGGACAGTGCCCCCACAAGTGACTCCCCAGGGTCTGACACAGCCCTGCAGACCGCTGGGGTGAGTGGGCCCAGCCTTGCGTCCATGGCTCCAGTGGATGCACCCTCAGAGGTTGGCTCCTGAGCCCTGGGCAGCTCACCGCCTCTGTCCCTGGCCATCCAGGCCAGCTGGGTGTGACCTGGCTGGAGCCCTCCGGGGTCAGGGAGGCTGTCCCCAATGGCTCTGGGACTGCTCAGCCTGCCTTAGGCGGTATTGGAGTCCATCAGGTTTGCTTGGAGGCAGGCTTCTCTCCCCCAGGGCATGGGGCCTGCCTGCAGCCTGTCCCTGTCTATGGTGGGCCCACTCTGCCGGCTGATGAGCCAGGGTGGGAGAAGGGATGGGGGCTCCATGGAAGGTTCTGCAAGGGGTTGGTGAAAGGTCCAGAGTGAGCTGTCCCGGGGCAAAACTGGGCAAGCCTCTGAGCAAGGTGAAACGAGTGGGGCCGGCTCAGCTGGTGCTCCCTCGTGTGCAGTGCCTTTCCACCGCCACCCCACACGCCCAGGCTGGGGCCCCGGACGCGGCCACGGGGGGCGCCAGGGTCTTGCCCTGCTCAGGGTGAAGAGACAGCCGGTGGCCCAACCCAGTTACACCGTGAGGAATGGAGCAGAGGGCTCATTCCACTCTATTTAATTGCAGTGTACAAAATGGTGTTTGTATATAGAATAAACTGTTGACAGCGTCCAGCCAGCGTTTGTGTGTGTGGGGAGGCCACGCGAGGCCCCTCGGAGCCCCTGCTGCAGGTGGAGGAGGGCCTGGTCCCGCGTCACTGGGCGGCCATGGGTGCTTCCTCGGAGGCCTGGAGCCGGCTGCGCGGCCCATGGCGGGCGCCGTCCCCCAGCTGGGCGAGGAGCTGCCCGCGCCGCACCAGCGCCTGGCGGAGCCTCTCGCGTGCGCCTGCGATGCGCTGCTCCAGCTGTTCTAGCTCCCCGGGGCGTGGGGCGCCCGAGAACAGCTCGGCGGGCGGGCGGCCGTTGGAGCAGAGCCAGACGGGGCCCCTGGGCGGCCCAGCCGCATCCGCGTCTGGGGCATCCTTAACGGGAGTGGTGGCAGCGGCGGCGGCCACGGCCGGCTCCAGCAGGAAGTGCGTGCGACGCTCCCTCACCGAGGCCCAGCGCACCCGTGTCCAGCCCCCCGGGCTGGCGGGGGCGGCCAGAGTGTCCTGCTGAGGCTCCTTGAGACCCCTGGGGACGGATGGGGCTGGGCAGCCGCGTCCTACCCACAGTCCCACTCTGCCCTTTGGGACTGGTGACCCCGGGGTCCATCCAGCCTGTTGGGGCTGGAGGGCGGGGATGGGAGTTGCTGGGGTGGAGAGCGGCCCCCAGGGTCCCTTACCTCGGCTCCGGCTCCTCCTGCCCGTCGGGCGGCTCCGTGTTGAGGGCGCGATGGATTCTCTAGGAGCCAAGACAGAAGTCACGTCGGGGTCGGGTCAGCAGAAGGCCGTCCTGCACGCCCTCCCCACTCCCTCCACCCCGCAGCCCCCCCGCTCCTCACCTGGCTCGTGTGCAGCCAGTACTGCAGCTTGTTGCCTCTTCGGATGCGCGGCAGCGCCAGGCGGTAGAAGACGTGCTCCCCCAGCGAGCTGAGCAGAGCACTGCCCAGGCCCAGGCAGAGCAGCACGAAGAGTCCCGAGAAGTGGTAGATGCCCATCTGGAGGGTCTGCGGGCAGGACGCAGGCACAAAAGCCCTCCTGGTCATGGCAGACCCTTGGGGAGCCCCCACGCCTACCCCTCCCTGCGTCCCGGGCCTGCCCTACCTCTGTAACAGCGAAGACCCGCTTGCCACAAGGCACCATCTTGTACCACTTGTCGTGCAGGAGGTCGATGAAGCCGGAGGACTTGTAGGGGCTGATGAACTCGGACAGGTTGGAGGTGAGCGGCGAATTCCGGGGGAGTCCGATGCCATAGCCTGGGGGAGGCCGGGCGTTGGGTTGGGACCGGGCTGGACGCAGACCCACAGGAGCTGTGCCCGCCTGGAGCCCGCAGGTCACTGGTCCCGGGGGCCACTCACCCTCGATGGCGAAAGTCTTGCCCAGGGTCAGCAGTCTGCAGTCCGTGTCGATGGACACTTCGTAGTCCAGGAGCGACCTGTCCATGATGAAGGCATTGAGCTTGGGGGGGTCGCTTCTGCCCGGGAGGGGGACGGGGACGGGGTGAGCATCCCCGCCCGCCTGGCCCCGCCCTCCGCCCCGGCCCGCGCGCCCCCCCCTCACGTCAGCATGGCGACGCCGTGGGGCGTGGTGGGCGCACTGTGGCGCCGCACGTGTGCGTACAGCTTCAGGAAACTCTTCTCGATGTAGGCCTCCGCGCTGCTTTCCCACATGGTTCCGAAGCGGAAGCCCTGGGACGCGTGGTGCAGCTGCGGGCCAGCGCCCGGTCAGCGCCTGTGGGGGGCCCTTGATCCCAGCCCCCACCCCCGTTCCGTCCGCCAGCCCGGAGCACCCGGGCCCAGGGCTCTCAACCAGCTCACGTGGGCCACGTCATCTCTGGGGGGCCGTCCTGGGCTCCGTGGGGTGTGGAACAGCATCCCTGGCCCCAACTCCTAGATGCCAGGAGCCCCCTGCCCTAGTCTGACAACCACAGATGTGCCAGGACATGGCCCAGTGTCCCCTGGGGGCAGGACCGCCCAGTTGAAAATGTTCTAAAACCCGCACGTCCATCTCCAGGCCCTTAACTCCACACTTCCGCCTCCGCCACACCCGCTGCGTCTCTCCTTAGGGTCCCCCGGGAACCCCAAGCTCACCGCGTCCAAGACCCACTCTCGAGCCACCCCACAACTTCCCACCGCAGTCGCTCTCCCGCCTCTGCCCGCCTCTGCGTCTCTCATCTCCACGTCCCGTCCACCTGCAGATCCTGTGGGCGCTGCCCTCCGGACACCCTGGACCTGCCCGGTGCTCGCCCCTCCGCAGCCCCCCATCCCCCATTCCTCCTGCACCAGCGCTGCCCCCTCAGCCCCGGGCTCTCCGGCCCGCCCACTGTTTGTGCAACCTCCCTAAAGCAAAGCATGAGGAGGCCACCTAACCAGGGCCTCCTTGTCGGGGCTACAGCACTTCCGAGAAGCCAGACCTGAGGCAAGCAGGGCCATCTAGAACTTTCTGGGGAAGGAAATGCTTTACACCTGTGCTGTTCTCAAGTGGCTGTTGAGTGCTTTCAATTAAATCAATTTAAATAGTAGCCACGGGACTTCCCTGGTGGTGCATTGGTTAAGAATCCACCTGCCAATGCAGGGGACACGGGTTCTATCCCACATGCTGGGGAGCAACTAAGCCCGTGCACCACAACTACTGAGCCCGCGCGCCTAGAGCCTATGTTCCGCAACAAGAGAAGCCACCGCAATGAGAAGCCTGCACGCAGAAACAAAGACGCAATACAGCCAAAAAAAAAAAAAATTATTTTAAAAAAGTAGCCACATGTGGAGAGTGGCTGGCCCACGGGACAGCAAGCATCTAGGTCTCATTACTGGTTTAACAGAGGACACTGGGGTGGGGGAGAAGCAGGGGACGAGAGCAGCTAGATCCAAACACTGGGAGATGCTGCAGGAGAAAAGAAAACTTCAACAAACAAATCGCTAGTGAACAAAAAGATGGAGTGTCCAGATGGCCCCATGGGGCCTTCCCGGGACAGACCCCCACCTGGTCCTCTGCCTGCCTCTTGTCTGTAGAAAAACTTTAGTCTCCTAGGCCTTCCCCGAGTTCCAAAGAATAAATTTAATCAGAGAAGTGAGAAAATGCAGAAACAAAGGAAAACAGTCAAACAAGACAAAATAATAATAATAGTTTAGCCATTAAAGTCAAGGAATTTTCATTCCTTTTCAAGGGCTGTAGATACTATTCTGAGCCAGTGAACTTCCCTGGCGGTCTAGTGGGTAAGGCTCAGTGCTTCCACTGCAGGGGGCATGGGTTCAATCCCTGGTTGGGGAACTGAGATCCTGCATGCCATGCGGCATGGGGAAAAAAAAAAAAAAAAAATTGAGCCAGATCCTTTGAGCTCTTTTGCAGACACTGAAACCCCCACCAGCTGGAAGAAGTTAACTGCGTGCTGCCCACAAGCACGTAGACCCCAGACTGATTGGAGCCAGAAGGTTGATGATGTTGACTCCCAGTTACTTCACCACCAGCCCATCAGAACATCCAGGAGCTAATCACACACACCCCAACCCCCCTCCCTCACCCTCTCTTTAAAAACCTTTCCCCAATACTTAAATAAAAATTAAAAAAACAAACAAACAAAAATAAACCTTTCCCGGAAAGCCATGCAGGGGTTCAGGTCTTAAGCACTAGCTGCGCGGACTCCTTGCTTTATCTGCAATAAACACTGCGCTTTCCTTCACCAGGACCCTGTGTCAGTAGATTGGCTTTACTGAGTGCAGGTGAGTGGACCCAAGTTTGGGCTGGTAACAAGGAGGTTTCTACCTTCCTCGGGGGTCTGTACCTTTTGGATCCAGATTCAAACAAACCGTGAAAAAATTTTAAAAAAAAGACAACTGAGAAAAATGGCTGCCTGATGTTTAAGTTCCCAGAATACTCATGACGAAATGGTAGGAGGCCTGGGATTTCCCTCATGGTAACCCAGCGGCTATGGCTGGTGCATGGACGAAACTGGTCAGGAGTTGACTTTGGAGCCGAGCAATGGGTTCATTCATCGTGGGCCTTGCTCCCTACTCCAGAATATTAAAATTTTTTCATTAAAAGAGAAAAATATGTAGGCTGGGGCATGCCCTGCTCTGCCCACAGCCCTCCAGGACTCCTGGTGAAAGTTCTGTCTAAATGGAGCTTCTGTGGAGGCCCAGGTCCTCCCACATGTGCAGGCCCTGCATGACCTGCCCCATCCCCCTCCCTGCTCTCGCCTCCCCTCTCTCCCCCCTCTCCCCTTCACTCACTCCGCTCCAGACACACACAGGCCTCCTTGCTGTTCCTCCAACCTGCCAAGCACAATCCTGTCCCAGGGCCTTTGCACAGACTGCCTCCTCTGCTTACCATATTCCTCCCTGATATCTACATAAAAGTCCCTCACCTATCACCTCTCCCAGAGGAATTCCTGACCCCCATTTGAGAAATCATCCCTCCCCAGTGCTCCCTGTGTCCCCACCCTGTCTAATTTTCCTCCCTGGAACTTTATCACCAATTCACACACCATCTACTTTGTTTCTCTGTCTTGATTCTCACCAGCAGCCTCGCCTGTTTTGTCCCAGCTGGGTTCAACATGAGTTTGTGGGAGCAGATGGCCGCCCTCTACTGGGTGGGGACTGGGGGCGGGGGTGACCTCCAGGCTCTGACCCCTGAAACCCCATGGCCACGCACCTTAGGGTCGTGGATCCCCGAGAGCTCCTCGAACGTCTTGTCCCCGACCATGACGGCGGCCAGGTTGGCCGTGTAGCTGGACAGCACGAGCAGGCAGAAGATGGCCCATAGGTTCATGAGGAGGCGGCCCGTGGGGCACTTGGGCGTCTTACTGGACACTGTGCGTCCAAAGAGGATGGCGTAGCAGAGGTTGAGGGCAGAGGAGTAGGAGAACGCGGTGCCCTGGATGCGGCCGCGGGGCGTGAGGCCGAAGGGGCTGCGCCACTTGTATAGGGTGAGGAAGAGCGCAGTCAGGTGCAGCGCGGTGAAGACGCCCAGCCACATGGACCAGTGCAGCGGCCACGTGAAGGCGCCGATGGGCGACGCCGTGTCCCGCGCGCGCACCATGATGCCCAGACTGGTGGAGAAGAAGGGGCTGGTGAAGTCCACCACCTGCGAGCGGGCTGAGTTGATGCGGAAGCTGGTGACAGCCATGTGCGCCCGGCCGGCCAGCAGGCCGCCCACCAGGCCGGTCCAGCGGCCGTCGCACAGCGCACCGTACTTGCCGTCGCCCACGATGTACAGCTCGAAGTCGAAGGGCGCGTCCTCCGCCAGGCGCTCCAGCAGGTCGATGCAGTAGCCGTAGCAGCACCTGCGCAGTGCGTGGGGCGCCGAGCCGTCGGCCAGCGCGGCGAAGTGCGCGTCCAGGGCTGCCGAGTCGTTGCTGCCGGGGTCTAGGCACAGCTGCCCCGCCGGGCACCGACCGTCCTCGTGCGGCTCGCGGGCGAACACGAACGGGGGCTCCACCAGCGTCACCACGCGCAGCTTGGGCGGCGCCCGGGCTTCCGGCGGGGGTGGGGGCCAACCGGCCACGCCCCCTGCCTCTGACTCCAGCCGCCCGTCCTGCCACCGGCCCACCGTGGCCCAGGCCGGGGCGCCCCGCGGGTCCCGGCGGAGGCTCCACACGCGGAAGCGCCGGGAGATGTGCACCTGCGAGGAGCCGGTCACCCACACCGGCGCCGTGTGGCTCCGGAAGGACGTGTTGGCCAGGAACCTGGTGGGGGTGGGCGGCATCAGAGTGGCGGAGGAATCCCTCCGCCGAGGTGAGACCTATCGCTACGCCTCAGACACACCGGGCCACGGGGGATGCTGCTGTATCCCCTACTCCAGATCCCCTTCCCAGCCGGGGTACCCACGCCCTGGGGGCTGGGGCGACGGCCCAGCCCAAAGCCCAGTTGAGAGGCTCAGGTGGGGCCTCCCTTCCCGCTTCTCACAAAGCCACACACACGGTTTCCTGCAGCAGGGTCCCCGCTCACCGTGCCAAGAGGCGGCCGGAGGACTCGGGCCCGGGCAGCGGCAGGTCATTGCAGTTGATCGTGGCGGGGAGGAGGGCACGCTCCGGCTGCACGCGGGCCGCACTGTCCAGCGCGCAGGCCACTAGTTCCACCGCGTCGTGGATGGCGGCTTCCAGCGGGGGCCGAGCGACCTCGCCCAACGCCAGCAGCCCAGGCGGCAGGCCTTCGGTGGGGAGTGCCTTGGCGGGCAGCGGCGTGCCCAGCAGCCAGCGGGGCCCGGGGGGTGCGGCCTGCAGCACCCGCCAGGCGCCGGCCTCGTTGCAACCCAGGAGTACGGCCACGGGGACTGGGGCCATTCCCCCCGCGGCCTCCTCCAGTGGGGCCAGGCGGGTCCGCAGCCCTGCATCGCTCGGGTCCAGCCTGCTCAGGTCCAGCACGAGCTTCGGAGCCCGGCCCGCCCAGCTTGTCCACAGGGCCACAAGGCCGCCAGGGTCCCGCACGCGGCAGAGCACCAGGCCAACGTCCTCCCGGCTGTGCGCCTGCAGCACTGACACCAGCACGTCCAGCAGAGTCTCCAGGGGGCTGGCCCAGTCCAGCTGCAGGTGGAAGGGGTTCTGGCAGAGGGGTGGTCACAGTTAGGGCTGGCAAACTCAGTGTCCCACCACACTCTTCCCACTGTATCTGTACATGTTCAATAAACGCATGACACCTTGATAACTGGACCTCGTGCTTGCTTCTTCCCAGCCCCACACCTGCTCTAACCCCTTCTGTGGCTCCCCATCGCCATCAGCACAAAGCCCGGCCCTGGCCTGAGGCTTTTTGCATTCCCCAGCTGGAATACCTTTTCCCATCTGTGACAGCCAACTCCTACACATCCTTCAAAACCCAGCTCCACTACCCCACCTCTATTCAGACTTACGAGGCAAGCTAGGGACTGACGGCTCCCCCCTCCGTGCTCAGGGACCCAGAAAGTTCTCCTGAATTTGCTTTGAGCATGGGAAAGACGAGAGAGCTTTGCCAGACACCTAATGTAGGCAGGGTGTTGTCCGGGTGGGGACAGGGTGCTGAGTGCAAGGGGAAAGGCTGGGGGCTGCTGCTCTCCCGCGGGGCGGCGGGGCAGGCCAGTAGTACCCCCAAGCCAAAGACTGACAGGTCCAACTGCAGAGGGTGCAGTTCCTGGATCCGCCTGCAGAGGGCGACAGAGGCACGGATTTGGGTCCTGCATCTCTCCCACCGGGAGGGGATCAAGGACAGAGGGGGTTAATGAGACCCAGGCCTCCTCTAGGGTCAGGGTCTTCCCGCCCTCAGGAGAAGGAAGGCCTGAGGGGGCTTCAAGGTGGGTTTGGAGAGAGGCAGGCCCCCTTCCAGACCCCATGTCCCAGCGTTGGGCCCCTCCCTGCTGGCCCTGGGAGGGGGTTCTTTCCCTGGGGCACAACAGGGTCCCCAGAGCTCTGCCAGTCACCCTTTTCTCCTCCTTGTCCCATTCTCTACTTATTCGGACCCAAATTCCAGCCTGGGGGTGTAATTAAGAAAAGAGAATAAACTCCAAGGACGAGGACAGGGTGGAGGAGGATGGAGGGTTTAGGAGAGACAGGGTGGCCCTGGGGACCTGAGAAGGCCATCAAGGAGGCTGTGGGGTGTGGGTAGCCTCGGCCTCGAGGGCCTCTGGTACGATCCTGGCAGGAGGAAAGTCCCCAGCCGCAGCCCCTGAAACTGCAGCCCCTGGAGAGAGGGAGACCCGCTTCCCCATCCCAGCCCCGCGGCCCTGCTTGGTGGGAATCCGGAGGCACCCTGTGACCTGACCGGGGAAGGGGGCCGCGCTCCTAGTGGGACTCCACCGCCAAAGCCCAGGGAAGCGTCCTGTGGGATCCGCCATCTGGGGTCCAGAGGTATCCCGCGGGGTTCCCGAGCCGCGGGGTTCCGTGGCCCTAGGTCCCTGCGCCCCTGGGCTCCCGCCTCCCATTCCGGGTCCCTGATCTCCGGGGACATCCGGGGTTCAGGGGTCCAGGTTCCGCTAACCCGAGGGCCGTCCCTGGGCCTCTGTCATCCGGACTCCGAGTCTCCCCGCATCCGGACTCTTGCATTTAGGGTCCACACTCTGAGGCCCGCGCGTCCCAAGGACTCAGCTATCCGGACCCCCGGGCCCCGCGCTCCAAGAGCGTCCCAGGGTCTCTCCCGTCCCGACCCCGGGTCCCCGCACGTCCTGACCCCGGCGTCCGCGCGTACCGGGGAGCCGAGCGGAGCGCGGGCCTCCCGCCGCAGCACGCTGAGCACGGGGGTCTCGGTGGCCGCCGCCAGGAAGTGCAACTGCAGCAGCTCGGGCCGCGCCTCGGGGAAGGCTAGCACGGCCGCCACGCCCGGTGCCGCCAGCGCCTGGCATAGGCCGCGGGCCAGCGAGGCGGGGTCGCGGGAGGGGGGCGCGGCGGCCGCCAGCTCCAGGCTCAGGTTGTGAGGCAGCCGCGGCGCCAGGGCGGCCCGGGCCAGGGCGGCGCGGGCGCGGGCGCGGGCGGCGGGCGCGCGGGGCAGGAGGGCGCCCAGGCGCACCGAGACCCCCAAGCGCGCCAGGACGCCGCACGGGTGCGGGTGGCCCCCGGCGGGCCTCGGCCCCAGCGCTAGCGCCAGGCCGAGCCAGGCCCGCACAAACTCCATCCCAAAGTTGCCGGCGGGCGCCGCGGGGCGGAGCCGCGGGTCGCACCACGGGAGGCGGGATCTCGGCCGCCCTCGCCGCTCCCTCCCCGCACCCGCCGGGCCGGCACCTCCCTCCCTGCCCGAGCCCGCCCACCTGCGCCCGCCCTCCCCCCTCCCGGTCCCCCAGTGCCAGGCAGCCCACTAGGGCGGCGTGGGTCCCACCACGCAGGGCAGGAAATTGAGGCTCAGGTGACCACAGCAGGCGGGGGTTGGGGTGGGGTGTGGAATCGAACCACTGCTCCTCCTGGCTCTGTGCCCACTCTACAGATGAGGAAGCCGACGTTAGCAGCAGGGAGGGATTTTGCATCAAGACCGGTACCCACACTCACCCCTGAATCCCTCCCTCATCCCGGCAACGGTTCCCAATTCTCAGTCAGGGAAACTAAGGCCCACAAGGGGTCAGTGTGCGTCCATAGTCACCCAGCTGCACCCTCCTCCTCCAGGGAGCAGCGTCTACCCAGACCAACCCGTCCACGTGCCCTACCATCGTTGGCGCCCCAGGGAAACTGAAGCAGACTTGTCTGATGGGGACCTGTGGGGAAGGTCTCCTGCCCTCCAGCTGTGGGCAAGCAACTTGAGCCAGAGAATTCCTCTTCACCCTTCAAGACCCAGTGCCAAATGCCCCTGCTGGAAAAACTTTCCTAGCTTGTCACCCAGAAAGACGCAGAACACCCTCGTCATCCCTGCCTACATGAACTCCATCACACGCCATCGTCTTTTTGTCCCTTTATTTGCTTTATTCAGTGGCCAGCTCTGGGAGACAGGGCGGGTCTGGCTCGTTACACAGCAGGCACTCTATAATTGTTGCTTTGAGCAACTGCTCAGACAAGGACGCGTGGTTACATCACTCTGCGCTGCTCTGGAACCTTCCTTAGCTCCCCGCAGCCAACCAATCCCCCAGCCTCTTCCTACATTAACTGGGCCTCCCCACGACAAATGCCATGGAGACCTTCTTGTGGCCCTGGCCTGTGGGAGGTGCTCAATAACCACCGGTCAAATAAGGGCCCAGGAGCACCCTGCATGGAACTCTCCCATCCCAGGTGGGGGAGTGGAGAAAGCCAGTCTTCTCCCCAGACCCCGCAAGGCACAGGGCAGCAACTGTGCATGGAACATTCCAGCTCTAAGGAACGCGTCTGCACTCAGTTGATATCTTTCACGCACGAGAAACCATCTCCTTTTGGAGCCAGTGTTAGAGACGCAGGGGACAAACTCCATTAGATGAAGAAAAATGCAGGTACCGGCCAGCAGCATGAATGGAATTTTGAGATGACTAAAGAGAGCTGGGTGGCTGGCTTCCAGGTGACAAGGCTACCTCATCCAGCCACCTGGCCAGGCATCCCAGGACAGGGAGGGTCATCCCAGGGAGCCCCCACCCCCACCACTGTTCTGGGTGAGGCGCCAGGTTAAGACCACCTGGGACCACCTGGGCCTCACCCCACCCTGGGGCAAGGTCCCTATGCCAGCATGAGTCCCCAGAAACGGACCCATCCTGGAGAGGGGATATCTCCTCACCCTAATGTGGCCCTCAGCAGTCAGTCAGTCAGTCGACAAACATTACTGGATGCTAGTTCTGGGAGGTACGCAAGCACCCGACGGTGCCTTGGGCCCCCGTCGGATTCACGGGGGAACGCCCTGAAGTCGCCCCATCTCGGGTCCTGCTGTTACACCTCACCTTCCCCCAAGGCCCACTACTTGCATGACCTGCACTGGGAGCCCTGGCCTCTACGCCTCAGCTCCCAGCTTTTTTTTTGATGTGGACCATTTTAAAAGTCTTCATTGAATTTGTTACAATATTGCTTCTATTTTATGTTTTGTTTTTTTGGCCCCAAGGCACGTGGGATCTGTGGGATCTTAGCTCCCCAACCAGGAATCAAACTGGCACCCCCTGCAATGGAGTCCCAACCACTGGACCACCAGGGAAATCCCTCAGCTCCCATCTTTACAAGCTCAATGGTAGTAGTTCTGACCTCCCAGCTACCCTGTACATCAAACAAGTGGACACAGGCAAGGTTTTTTTCCTTAATTGTGGTAAAATATACATAAAGTTCACCATTTTAATCATTTTTAAGTGCACGGCTTGGTGGCATTAAGCACATTCACGTTGTGCAACCATCCCACCATCACCTCTAGAACTTTCTCATCTTCCCAAATTGAAGCTCTGTCCCCATGAAACTCTGACTCCCCACCCCCCCCGCCCCCGGCCCCCACCATCTACTTCCTGTCTCTGTGGATGTGACCCCCCCCAGGGACCCCCGTGAGTGGAATCAGACAGTATTTGTCCTGTGTCTGGCTTCTCTCACTGAGCATCATGCCCTCAACGTTCATCCCTGTTGTAGCAGGTGTCAGAATCTCCTTCCTTTTTAAGGCTGAATAATATTCCCTTGTGTGAATGGACCACACTGTTTATCACCTGTCAATGGCGACTTGGATTGTCTCCACCTTTTGGCTGTTGTGAATCACATTGCTGTGGACACGAGCGTGCAAACATCTCGAGTCTCTTGCTTTAATTTCTTTGGAGGATGCACTCAGGAGGGGGACTGCTGGAGCATATGGTGATTCCACATTTAATTTTTTGATGACCCTCCAGACTATTGGCCACAGCGGCTGTACCATCTCACCTTCCCACCAGCAGTGCACAAGGGCTCAGATTTCTCCACCGTCTCCTGACACGTTTTGTTTCTTAAATAACAGCTGTCCTGGTGGGTGAGAGGCGGTATGTCACTGCGGTTCACATAAGCTCAGCGCACATGCGGGAGTCCTCTGTGAATGCTGGGTGCCGCCTGCACCTGCCCCTCTGGCAGTGATGGACCAGGATTCAGGGTCAAATTGTGCTTCTACAGATTCTTACAGACAGGACCATAACAGCAGCATTACTGGCCGTGTGCCTGGTGCCTGTGACACACCTGCTCAGCCGCACACCAGCTCCTGAAGGCTCCCCTCAGGCCGAGGTGGTGTGCGTTCCCTTTTACAGATGACACGGAGCCTCGGGGCCAGGTGTGGCTTGCCCGTGGCCATGTAGAGATTTCAGGGAAAGAGGCAAACGGGCTCCAGCCTTCACGGCCCACCAGCAACCTTCTCTGCAACCAGCTCCTGCCAGCTGACCTCCAGTGAACTCCTTCGGAACAGCCCGCGTAAGGGGGACAGGAGACCTTGCAGGCCCGCAAGGACAGGTGGCAGGGACAGCGTGGGCAAAGACAGTTGCGTGTCAACTGGAGGATCTTCCCAGGCCCAGCCAGGAAACCCCCCCCTTCAGGGCTGAGTCATTAAAATGACAGCCCCAGGGGTGGGGACCCCACCTAGGGGTGCCTACCCTCACCCCCAGCCATAGGTGTGGCAGATGAGCCAGGAGGAACCCCAGGACCCAAGGCGGCAGCTGAAGGTCCAAGGCAATGAGAGCAATACCCCTGCTCCCCAAAGAAAAACCCAGAGCCCAGGAGGTGGCTGCCAGACATTGGGTGATCCCCAGCCCATCTCCTGGCCACCTGCCAGCTCCTGCCTGGGACTCCACCAGACAAAGAGCAACACCGGGGCCTCAAAAACTGGCATCTCCTTCCAAGCCACTGAATCACGGGGCGAGTGCAGACAGCTGGGGGCGTGGAGCAGCGTACCAGGCAGAGGGCAGCATGCCCCAGGCTCAGCACCAGGGCTGCCAGGGACCCCCACCAGGGCCAGGGCACGAGGGGCCCGGGCAGGTGAGGTGGCCCTTGGCCCCAGGGGATTCTCAGCCAAATTCTGAGGCCCTCTTCTAATCTTCCGGACCCTCTGGAAACCAAGGGGGTGAGGACGGACTGGGCGCACACTGCAGACAGGAAAACAGCCCTGGGTACTCTGGGGAGGAGGGCGCAGCTCCAATCCCCAGCTCTGCTCCGACAAGCTGCCTCGCAACCCGCCCCCCCACCCCCGCCTCACTTCTTGGGATCCACCAGCGGCCCAGGGGCTGCACCTACAACGTGGACCCTATCAGCCAGCAGGACTCCTCACCTGGCAGCTCCCTGGGCAAGGCGGGCCATGAGGGTGGGTGCAGAGCCCCAGCAGGGATGCCCACTAGCTAAAGACATGAACCAGGCGCTGGCCCCCAGCCGAGGTCATTACAGCACCTGCTAAGTCATGTGGATTTTCTGGACCATTAAGCAGACTGTCATTTGGGGGCAGCTTTCTGGAAGGTTCCATGAGCAGCCTCAGGGCCCACCTCTCAGCTGGGCTCCGGGTGCCAGCTGGCGGTGTCCCTGTCTCCCCTGGGCAGTGGGGATGGGGCCTGGCCTCCCTCCGGCCCCTGACACCAAGAAGGTTCTGGTCAAGATGACCCTGGCCCAGAACTGGCTGCCACCCCAGAGCCAGCTGCCCTGACCCAGGTTGGGGTGACAGGACCAGTGTGACTGCACTGCTGTCCCTGAGTCACTCCTGCCCCTGGGGACCTCGTCCTGCAGCTCCCAGGATGCCCCTGCCCTGTCCCACTGGTGGCATGGCCTCTGGGTCATGGAAAGGCACTGGGGCAGAGGTGAGTTAAGAGGTGAGAACGGAGGCTTCTCGGCGCTAGATCTGAAACTTGAACGCTGTGATGGCTACGGCGAGGTCCCTGAGGCAGGTCCCGCCACCGGGGTCCTGAGCCCGGCGTGGGCACAAGGAGGCCGAGAGGCAGGATTTCAGCTCTTTTGTTAGACGTGGCACAGCACCAACATGACATGGGAGGTCATGGAAGGACAGCGGGTCAACACTGGACCACGACCCCTGGTGGGGGTGGCAAATCCAAATGATAGGACACTGGCAGAGGATGGGCTCGGGCCTCGGGCTCTGCCAGCCAGCCGGGAGGGCCCTGGGGAGAGCCCAGGGGGCAGGTCCGGGTGCGGGTCCGGGCTGTGCGCGTGCTCACTGGGCCTCACTTGGCCGGTCGAGTGATGATGCGCGTGGAGAAGTCAAAGAGGTCGCGGTTGATCTTGCGCAGGTTCCGCACCTCGTCCTCCAGCTCTGCCACGCGGATCCGCAGCTGGTCCTGGCCACCCAGCACGCTCTGGGGGAGGGGCGGTGGAATGCTCAGAGCGGGAGGGGGCCTCAGACATCCCACTGGCAGGCAGCGGGGCGAGGCTGGCACTGAGGGCCACCGTCCCCACGGTCCATGACAGAGGGTGGGGCGGGGGCACATCCCTTCCAACCCAGGCCCAGGCCCCCTGCCACCCTTCCCTCCGGACAAGCCCCCATCTTGGGCCCCCGCCCCCATCTCGGGCCCCTCCCCTCCCCTCCCCCATTTTGGGGCCTCTCCCCTCCCACCTTCTCCAACGTGCTGCACATCACCCCGTGCAGCTGTTCCACCCGCTCCAGGTAGCTGGGCTCTGACCCCTGGAACAGAAGGGGCCGCGTTAGCTGGCCACTCCCATCAAGCCTCGAGGGACGCGCAAACGGTTGGCTAGTGCCTCCAGCCCTGGGAGGGCTCAGCCACCCAGTGAGATGATGGACCCTGCTGCCACCCAGAGGCCATCCGTCTCTCGCTGGACCCTGTCTGGGCACGTTGCCCCGGGCCAGCAGCCCGGAGCCTGGCACAGCCATCCATCAGGCCGCCGGGAGGGGTGTGGACAGCCCCGCAGGCTCATGTGGCTCCGAGGCACAGAGAGAGCAGACAGAGCCTGGCCTCAGTGGGCAAGGCTGGCCGCACTGAGGACAGGCAGGGAGGGGCCCCAGGGGCCTGGAGGGGCAGGCAGGCCGTCATGAAGGGGGTCCCATGGGCACTGGGGCTGTGACCGCTCCCGCCGCCCAGCTGGAGAAGGTGGCTGCCCGTACACAACCTCTGGGTCCTGATCGGCCCCTGGAACAACACCCTGTTGTTGTTCTCAAAGGGAAGCGTGGCCCGCTCCCTCTCTGGAAGGTTCCAGGGCTTCCTGAGGCCAGGGACCAGCCATCAGACTGGCCTCAACGACAAGGGCAGAGAAACCTCTTCAGCAAAGGAGCATGTGGAAGGTCCCCACCAGAACCCAACCCAAGGGCACCCAGAGCCACACGGCAGAGGCTGAGGCCCAAGGGTGGGGGTCCCTGCTGGGGGTGAGACGTACCTGCTGGTGGAGGCCCAGGCGCAGCGTGAGGCCCCCGTGGCGTGGCTCGTCCCCATGCTCTGCGCCCAGCAGGTGCTTATTGAAGTGCGGCAAGGGCAGGCTGGGCCTGCAGTCAGAGCTCAGCATGCTGACTGGCGCCAGCACGATGCAGGCGTTGGTCACGGGGCCTGGGGCGGGCGGGCAGGCAGCATCGGGACCCGCCCTCCACCCCTCCAGCCACCCACCTGGCCCTGACACTCCCGTGCATTCCCGTCCCCACCCTCCACAAGGCAAACCCTGGGGCCTTGCTCCAGCCCCGGGCCGCCCACGGTGTGGACAAGGCCCCCCAGGCCCAGGGCCTCCAGGAGGGCTGCATGCGCCCACCTTTGAGAGCCACCGTCCTGAGGCACTGCTGGCTCTGCACATCCCAGAGGCGCACCGTCTCGTCGTGGGAGCCCGAGAGTAGCACGCTGCCATCCGTGGACACTGACAGGCAGGTCACCTGGTTCCTGGGGACAGACAGGTCACCTGGCGCCCGGAGCGGGGGGGGTGGCACAGTGACCCCCACCACCACCTCCTGGTCGACCCCGTCCCCGTACCTGTGCCCTCTGAACACCTTCCCGTGGTCCTGCTCCGGCTGGAAGCTCTTCTCTCTCTGCCCAGGCTGCGGAAGCGGGAAGGCTGGTGAGAACAGGGCACAGCTGCATCTCAGCCCCAAGCCTCGCACACCCTCGCCCCCCATGCCCACTCACCCAGGTACAGAGGTCGACCTGGAAGATGGAGCCATCACTACCACCGCAGAACATGTGATGCTCAGCCAGGTCCATGGTCACGGCCATGATGCTCACGTCGAAGAGCACAGACAGCAGCAGCTCGCCAGAGGAGACCTCCCACAGCTGGGGGCGGGGACGGGGGCATGGGTCTGAGAGCGGAGTGGAGCGCAGCGGCCCAGCCGGGAGACTCTGGATGCCACAGGAACCTCAGACGGGAGCTGTCACCACGGGGGGCTCGGGGGTTGAGGGACCTGCTTCTCACGCTGGGACCCCTCGCCACCACCGGCTTCAGTTACTATCAGCCCCCAGGCCACCACCAGGTCAGCCCTGGACTGCCCCAACCAGGGACGAAGACCTGAGGACTCCCTCAAATCCCCTGAGCCTTGGCCAGGAGCTGCCAGGTGCAGTGGCCAAGTGGGACTTTCCAAGCCGACACAGGCCTGGACTGCCCGCCCCCCGCCCCCCCGCCCCCGGACGTCCTTGAGGCCGCAGGCAGCGGGGGATTAAGAGCTGTCTGGAGCCACCAGCCAGCGGGAGGAGATGATGCTCTGGTTCCCATGGGCCAGGAACCCGCCAGCCGCCGGGCTCAGCTCACAGATCCACTGCGGGGGTCAGGGCAGGGCCCTACCTTCACTGTTTGGTCCAGCGAGGCGGTGGCCACCCGGGCCAGGGGCCCACCAAAGCCGCAGTGCAGGTCTGTGATGGGGAGGGTGTGGCGAGACCACACGTGTCGGGGGGCGGGGGTCCGGGAGGGGTCTGCCTGCAGCACGCTTGGGGGGTGGGGAGGAGCCGGACCTCAGCGGGGAGGGCGGCCCACATCTCGACGCCTTTATACCCTGTCTCCGGGAAGCAACCAGGCCCCCTCACCCGAATAAAAGTCCTGGGTAGCTGCCCAGGGCCCCGTCCTCCTGGCAGCAGCCTACCTGACCTGGAGCCCCTTCCCACCCCGGGGCCTGGCCTCTCTGCACAGCAGGTTCCCCGCCCTTGTGGTTAAGGCCTCGCCCGGCCAGAGGCTACAGCCGGAATGGGGAGCCGCCAGGGCCGGGGCTCTACCTGCAGAGGCTCCAAGCCAGCACCAGGCAGTCCTTGCCCCCCGAGACGAAGTGGCTGCTGTCCCCCGTGAACTGCAGACATGACACATCCTGGTAGTGGCGGCTCAGGATGACCAGAAGGTTCCCCGTGGAAACCTGGGGAGGTGGAGGGGCACCGGGTCATGGGGAGCCCTGGGGGAGTGGGAGGGGAGGGGGGGGGGGGGGGGGCGGGGCCCCGGGGGCGGGGGGGCCCCGGGGGGGGGGGGGGGGGGGGGGGGAGGGGGGAGGGCCCGTCCCAAAGGGCTCTGAAGTGAACAGGGAGGCTGCGGGGCCGTGCCCCCTTGGATCCTGCGAGCACCTGTTCCCACCCTGTCCCCAGTGAGATGACACAGCCCCAGGGAAGGTGTCAGCAAGGGGACAAGGCCGAGGGGGGCTGGTGAGGGAGGCTCTCTCCAGGATCGGCTGGACCCAGGGGCGATCCTTGCAGCCACAGCTGCAAGTCACCATCTTCCGAACTGGCTGGCGGGGGGCACAGATGCTGCCGCAGGTTGAACTGTGTCCCCCAGACACACGTGTCCACGCCCAACCTCCGGAACCTGTGACCTCCCTTGAACAGGACATAATCTCTGAAGATGTAATCAATTCAGAAGAGGTGACATGGAAGTGAAGTGGCCACTGTCTCTTTAAGAGGGACACCTGGACACAGACACACAGCCGCCTCACATCCCACACCCCCCCCCCCCCCCCCCCCCCCCCCCGGCAAAAGGAAGGAGACAGGCTACACACAGAGGTGGATACAGGCATCAGAAAGCCCCCAGCCTGCGTGCCAGCCTTTGGTCAGCCCCGTGGGGCGCCCCCTCGTGGCCACAGCTCACGCTGGCCAGGAATTCTCCAAGAGGGTGGGGAGCCAGGACCACACAGTGTCCCCCATCAAGGAGGCCAACCACCTGAGACATCTGCTGACGGTGGACGGGCCGCTAACGTCTGCCCACACCCCCTGCACCAGCTTGACAGCGAAAAGGAGTATTTCTACCACAGGGTGACCTGTCTCAGTTTCTCTCCCTGCACGTGAATAAGGCCTCTTAGTTTCAGAATCACATACTGAGGTTTAAGAGCCCTGGAGTGAGGTTACTAGCTCTCTCTCATATCTTTGGACCTCAGACAGTCCACAGAGAACAGTCGGTTCTCTTTGCTGATCTCTGGGGCAGCCAGGAAGGTCGTTCTGCCGGTGCCGAGGTCAGGAAAGGCCTTGTTCTGTTGCCTCAGATCCTGCACTGTCTACGCAAGAAGTGAGGTGAGCTTCCCCCACAAACGTAACAGACTGTTGCTGACAACTGGGTCAGTGATCTCAGCTGGCAGCCTGCGAGCTGAGCCCGCCACCCCGGTTCTGTGCTCCTATGCTCACCTCCCACAGGTATATGCTCTCTGTGATCCCTGCCAGAACATAGAGGCCATTGGGCGACGTGGTAAGACAGGTGACCGGTCCGGGGCACATGATCTTCTGCTGAAGCTGGTCCTAGAGAAAGAAAAAGCTTCTGAGTTTCATGCCCGATGAGGGAGCAGGGGGAAGCGAGGCGAGTGGGAGTGGTACCCAGACAGCTGGTAAGTCCAAAAGGACCAGAAAGAGGAGTGGGGACAGGGGTGGTTTGACCAAATCCATGGTTCAGGAAGGGGGGTATTTGCTCCAGCTGAGGCTTTGCAGGGCGGGGGTGGAGGTGGAGGCCTGTGGATTCTCCTCAAAAGCAAGACAGCGCTGCAACTCCCCGTGCTCCCAGTGCGGGGAGGGGGGGGGGGGTCCAGGTTTGGTCCCCAGGGAACTAGATCCCGCATGCCCCAACTAAAGATCCCGCACGCGACAACGAAGATCCCGTCTGCCACAACTAAGAACTGGCACAGCCGAATAAACGAATAAATACATTTTTTTTTTTTTTTCTAAAAAGCAAGACAGTGCGTCTCTGGACTGGGGGTCAGAGGAACCGTCTGGCCACTAGGCTTTCGCCCCAGTCCTGCATCTCCTGAAGTCTCGCCTGGGATCGGGAGCGTCAGTTTCTAAATGTCTAAAATGGAACAACTTCTCAAGTTTGTGTGTGTACCACACCAGGCAGAACCGGAGCACAGAGCTTGCCGAAAGAGATGTCAGCTGGCAAAAACACGTGGCGAGCAGCTTCAGGGGCTGCATTTCGAAGTTTCTGTAGGAGAAACCGTGGGCCCTAATGGCAATAAGTAAGCGTCTTTTCAGAGGTGATAAATACACGAGTCTCCGGGCTCCCGTTCAGCGGACTCCCCCAGGCCTCAGACCTTCACCCTCCAAGCCCACGATGCCCACGGAAACCCTACGGCAAACTCCTTTCAATTACACTTCCCGCCCCACGCCGGCTCCAGCGCAGGGCCCCCAAGAGACCCACACCCAGCTCTCCTTGTGCGCGTGCGCACCGCTGGCTACCCAGCGGCCCGCCCGCCACACCTCCAAGCGGCAGCCCACCCTCAGCTCAGCGCGTGCGCGCAGCGCCCTAACCGCTCCCACCGACGCCGGGCGCGCGGCTCCCTCCCCCCACCAAAAAGCCCCCAGACCCGCGCGTGCGCAGAGCATCCTAATAGGATTCCCCACTTCCCACTGGGGTTCAGGGCCCGTGCGGCCCCCACCGTCCCCTCTCCCGACCCCAGGCCCCTGAGCCCCGCGCATCCCGCCAACGGCGCCCGGGCGCGCGCCGCCGAACCTTCCTCTGTAGCTCCCAGGCGCTGATATAGTTCTTGCCCAGCTGCGCCGCCAGCAAGTACTCGCCATTGAGCAGCGCCAGGCCGCGAGGCCCGGCCTGGCCGCCGCGGTATGTGAGCAGATTGGCGCCCGAGTGCAGCTCCCACACGACGCAGCTCCACAGCTGGGCCGCCGAGTCGGTACACACTGCCACCTCCACGGGCGCCGCCATCATGCTTTCTCCACCGCCCAGGACATGCGTCATCACCAACGAGACGCGGGCGACTGCGCCCTGTCGGCTAGAGCGGTGCCCACGTTGCCCGGCTCCCGGCGGCTGGCCGACCCGAGCGTGCGCACAGGACTCGGGGAGGGGGCCCTGTGAATCAGGCGGGCTCTTCTTTCCCGCTCCGCGGAGAATCAAGGGGCGCTCAGCCTGGTTAGAGATCTTGGAAGGAGATTTCTTTCAAAAATAGATGGAGAAACCCAGGCCGAGGGTCTCCTGAGAGCAGTTAATAGCTTCAGAGCCTGGAGGTCTGGCTTGGCCATTTCCACTGGGCGCTTTTGGTCAAGCACTCAACCTCTCGGATGATGATGGTGATTATTTTTAACGTGCGTATATTGAATACCGACCTCACAGGCCCGAATGAGACATTGCACGTAAAACAGACTACGCACCTAACATAACAGGTAGCTGGTGTTCAAAACGTAGTTAGACGCATATTCACGGATCCATCGTCCGCCTCCCCCGGACCTCTCTTCTTCGGGGGCCACAAAATCCACATTTTTATTTCGGCAACTTGGTGCGGGTCGAACAAGTCGCGAGTTCTGTCTGGGGAGCACCCAACAATCTCGTGTCAGCGCTGCCGGCCGCAGGCGACGTCTACGAACAGTGCGTTTTAAAATGTGGAATTAGTTGTTAACCTTTGAAAACGGGGAATTTCGCTCAGGAGTCGCGGTCTCATGGCTGTCTTGGGCGGCGTACCCACAAGAAACATTGGGGAGACTGGGTGCGGGGTGCGTCCCCCAATCCCGCTCTGCCATCCGGGAGGGGATGGTGGAGAGGAGAGCGGAGGAGGGGCCTTCCTGGAGGAGGAACGGCGCCCGGAGCCTGGGGCTCCGGAGCCCCAGGCCCGGCCGCCAGGTGGCAGGCTCGAGCCACCGACCGGGATGCCGGTCGGAGTTGCTCCCAGCCCAGGGGCCACAGCAAGAAGCAGCAACCGGGAGGAGGGGCGTCAGGGGGGACCTGCCTGATCTGGAGGAGGGGTTTCCCAGAGCAGGTGTCCTTAGAGCGGGAACTAACAACCTGAAGAGAAAGAGGGGCAGAGGTGCGTGCAAAGGCCCTGAGGCAGATCATGGAGGGGGAAGCTGGATATGGGGACCTGGATTTTATTTTATCCCCGGCAGGGTTGGGGGGGAAGGTCATGTGAAACTGAAGAACTTTTGTAAACTGGGGAGAGCTGGGTGTCCAAACTTCCAGAAGCTGCCAAAAGGGGACACTGAGGCAAGGACCATCTAGTCCAAAGACGGATTGGAGCTAGAACCAACTGTTCCTGATTTCCACCCCCAGAACCAGCTGATGTTCCCTCCCTGCTTCCTCAAACTTTTTTTCTTTTTTCCTTACTGCGAATAAGAAAAATGAAACACCTTGAATGCTAGTTTACATTTTTCAGATACTGTTTTCCCAAAACCACATCTTTCTTTGAATCCTGAATCCTGGGCATTCTGTGGAGCCCCATTTGAGAATGGGCACACTCTGCGACCCCCGGGGGTGGACCAAGGCAGCCGCCTTCTAGCCACCAACTCAGGGCTTGAACCTGAGCTGCGGAGCAGGTCACTGCACAGCTCTGGGCCTCAGTTTCCTCATGTGCAAATCAGGGATGCTGATTCGAGCCCTGGGTGTGTGTCCTCATCTGCGGAGGTCTGGCCTGGAAGTTTCCAAGCACCCAGGTTCCAGGACGCAGGGTGGGCCCTGCAGGTGCCGGTTGCAGGGGGACCAGTTGTGCAAGCAGAAGTCGCTGCTGTGGTCACTCAGGCAGGGGCAGCCCCTGGCTCTGCTGGAGGGCAGGGCAGCTGGAGTGCTGGCCCGGCCCCCTCCCAGGCCTCTCCCTCCACTCCTCCTGTTTCCCCTCCGCCCCTCCTGGGGGGACCCAGCTCGGCCAGGCTGCTGTGTGAGGTCAGAGGTCACCCCACCCCCAGCCTGGTTCCGGAATGAGGACAGACCAGTTGTGTCAGAAGGGCAGGACAAAAGCCACACTTTGGGGGCCTCTCGGACCACCCAGTCACCAGACCTCCTTGGTGCCAGCCTGGTTCCTGGTCCTAGACCCACTAAATCCTAGGCCTGGAGGGCATGAGGCTGGCGCGCCAGGAGCAGGATGGGGAAACTGAGGGATAGAGGTCTGCACAACCCCTCCGGGTCTAAGCCCCGCATTCTTCATTCCCTACACATGTACTGAGAGCCTCCTGTTTGCAGGCCCAGGGTACACTGCCCCATCTCACCCCCTGCCCACCTGGGGCGGCGGGGACCCAGGAACAAACCCAGCCGCCCTGGCCTTTGTGGGGCCGCCCCGTTAAGTGCACTAATGGCGGAGGGGAAGGCGGATGACTCAAGCGAAAACCCTCTTCTTTTTCCGGCGTCCTTTCATCCAAACCTGCCTTTGGCTGCTGGTGGGCTCCCGCAGCTCTGCTGATCAGACATGGTTTTGAGTTTCACCTGGGAGGCTCCCTGGGCCTCCTCACAAGCACAGAGCGGGAGGCCCAGCAGGCGGGAGGCTCCTCGGGGATCTGGGAGGCTGGGGAGGAGGTGGCGGGGCCCGACCCCCTCCCGGCTTCCCCCCTGCCCCAGGGCTGTGTGACCTCAGGGCCTCTTGCCCCATCCCTGGGCCTCTTCAGAGGAGGAATGAAGATGCTGGACAGGCCGATCCAGTTTGCTGCATGGGCCTTTTTAAAACAAAAAAACAAACAAAACAAAAAAACACTTTTCCTTTACCTCCCTGGGGGGGCAGGGGGCTCTGAGGGGCAGGTGGGTTGACCCCTGTCCTCTGACCTCTCCAGGTCCCCCAGGCCCGCAGAGGCTGGAACCACGTGGATGGGCCACAGGGAGGCATCTCCAACAGGAGTGAGTTGTTTTTCCTCACTCAACGTAGACCTGGGGGCTGACCCGGGCGGGAGGGACCAGCCCAGGCCAGCCGTGGCCAGAGCAGGTGGCAGGGGAGCCATGTGGCAGGAGGCCCGCCCTGCCCAACATCCGGCCACGCTGACCTTGAGCCCGTCACGTCCTCTGGGCAGGGGGTGGGGTCAAGACATGGCTGAGGAATAGATGCCCAGAAAATCTTGCTGTGCTGGTTTGCCCGCGTGTGGGGTTTCCCTTCCACGTGTGCTGAGCCCAGGGGTCGCAAACTGCCCCGAGGGCTGAGCCCGCCCCTTGGTCTGCTTTCTTTGCGGCCACAAGTCAAGTGTAAAAATGTGCACTGAACCACAGCAGGAAGGCTGGGGGTTGGGGGGGCAGAGTGGACCCCTGTCACGGCCAAGACTGCTTGGGCTGCTCCCAGTGGGCGTGGGGCAGCTCCGTGCATCTCACCCACAGAAGGTCAGGGTGACACCACCCAGCACTGCTGACATGGGGGAGGGTCGTCCTCTGTGGGGCCCCCCGCCCCCCCCCCACTCGATGCCAGGAGCGCACACATCCCTGGACGTGGCCCAGTGTCCCCCGGGGGGCACAGTCCCTGCTGGACGCTGTCTGGGTCAGGTCCTGTGCCTTCTGCTGCCAGGACCCAGGGTGGGGGTGGGGCGACGCCCAAAAAACCACCACAGGAGCCGTTCTCTGTTAAAAGTCAGAAGTGTTTTGTCTTGTTTTAATATTTCATCAGCTTTACAGGGTTACAACTGTCTTAAATATTTCTGAAGTTTAAATACAATCTGCATAATAATGTTATAAAATGTAAACTTTCAGTGTTCTTTTAAATTTCAAAATCACACCTTTTTTTTTCTTTTTTTCTTTTTTTGGTCTTTTTTTTTTTTTCCCTCCCTTTTAATACCTGAATGTCCTGCAAAAACTGAAATAAATCGTCACAGGCTGCCCCGCCGCGGCCAGGGTGCGACAGGCTGGGCCCGGCCAGAGGTAGAGAGTAGTTTTTCATCTTTTTATTAGAAGTTTTTTTTTTCCCTTTAACCTGAGTTCAGGCGCGGTCCCCACGCCCTCTGACAAACCCCAGAGAAACTGAAATTTCACATGTCAGGAATGAAAGGTTGAAGTCATGTTTGCCAAGAAAAAATGCAGAAGCAAAATTAAGGGGGGAAAAAAAAAAAAGGATGGTAGTGGGCAAAAATGCTAACAGTGAGAAAAGTGACTGTACAAACACACAACTATTACAAACCAACCCGCCACCCCGTGCCCCGTCCCACCCCCCGCCCGCCCCCCAGCCGGACAGCTACAGCCCTGCAGCCGGTTTGGAGGTCACAAGGAAGGTTCTAGAAGCAGCCCATCCACAAGCATCTCCAGAGCAGGGGAGCCCCTGGAGCCCCTCTCCACCCTGAGTTTGGGGGTCCCCACCCTCAGCATGCTGCTAAGCCCCATCTGTTCTGGAATGAACAGCACTCAGCCCCCATCCCCGTCCCGGTTTGCATAAGGGGTGCTGAGCAGCACCCCAGAAACCCCCACTGACAGGTAGCGGCGGGGTTGGGAGCGGGGGGGGGGGTGATGGGGGCGCCCCAGTCAGAGGCAGGGCCCCCTGGGGGCTGAGCGCCCACTGGCCCCGGGCCCCCCTCGCGTTTCCACGGCCGGTGGACTCCCCCCAACCTGGGCCCACGCCCCCCCCACCCCATCCCCTACAATCATCAGCGTCGCCCAGCACCGCAGGCACACCCTGAGTTAGACCCGGGGGAAGGCGCCTCTCCTGCAGGACACCCGCTCCCCGAGACACACGTGGATCTCAACAGGACGCACGGGGGTGGGACCCTGAGCTGGGGGCTGGGGGCTAGGGGGGGTGGGCGGCCTGGCGGGGGTTTTGGCATCAAAAGTCAGACCTGAGGTAGAAAGAAATTCGCAGCAGAGACCCCCCTCCCCCCCACCCACGCGGCCGGCAGAATGGCGGGCGGAGGGGGGGGGGCAGCGGGCAGCCGCCCACGCTGCTGCGGTCAGGTGGTGGGAGAGGAGAGGGAGAAGGGGGGGTGATGGCGAGAGGGGGGCAGATTGTGTCTGGGGACAAAAGGATCCCCCTCCCACAATGATTGTGCCGCTGCAGTGAGAGACGAGAGGGGAGAACCTTCCAGAA